CATTGTTGAATGACCTGCCTTTGCAATACATTCTTTTGTTCCCAACATTTGAGTGAAAAATTAAAGGGATTAATGAGCTTATACCGTCAGAGCCGGTCTTGAAAATTTGTAGGCCCTGGGCCAAATAGTTAAATAGTGCACGTATTGTTTTTATTAGAAAAAAATCGTAAACAATTTATCAGAAAAAAATAATGAAGATTATAGCCAAATTGTAAAATTTTATTAAAAAATTTGACAATAAGTAAAATAACAAATCATGCTCAGTCTCTGTATAAGGAAAAAGAAGACAAATATAAGCAAGGTTTTAAACACTTTCACATTAATTAACCATATGTTTAATTTTAATGTAATCTCCAATAGTAAGTCTTTTGTTGCGAAAATACTAATATTATTTTTAAAATATATATATAATAACCAAATAAACAACAAGTTGAAACTCAAATTTAAATTAGAAAACTCGATGCCCTATATTGACTATCATTTATATGATCGAATTATGTGCACACAAGTATAATCTTGCACATTCAAGTAAGAAGTTAAAAAATATTTTTATCAATCGAATGACAAAATAAGGTAACAAAATATATATAAAAATATTTAAGTTAATATATCAATTATTATAAATTAATTTCATCATTAGAACTCCACATAACCGAACCGAACCAAACTGAAACGAAACAGTCTAATTTCACCTGTTAAAGTTACAGCCACCAATTTCTTCACAGTCGCCATTTTTATGCATTCGTGTTATAAATAGGACCAGAGGAAAAAGGGAGTTATACTCTTACTACATGTGAGAAAATTCCCTCACAACATAAAAGGTATCAAACAACTACAGTCTACAAGAAAATAATTATTAAAAAAAAAAAAAGGAATATTATGTGCAAGAAGTTGAGTCAGGGTGAGTGTTGAGCAAGATGGAGAAGCAGGGCACGTGCATTACTAACTCATATTAATTCATGCACACACCTTTTTTAATTTGCAGTTCCATTATTATTATTATTATTATTATTATTATTATTACTATTATTATTAACTGGAGCGGGCGAAAAAATGGACGGCTCAGATTATATCTGGAGATGCAATGAGTTAGTTCTTCATGTGCCCATCTTCCCCATCATGACCACTCAATCTTATTCGGTTTAATCTGAGGACATTTTCCAACAGAGCTTTAGTTCAAGGTAATTTTAATGATTTGTAACATATTAATGTGTAACTCGTGTGTAATTAGGTTCATATTTTACGAAAATTTCAAATTTTTTTTTTTTAAATAATACCATAGTGGTATTTTAATAATTTGATTCTGTTTTTGGTCATTCCATAAAACTAATCAATTTGCAGAAAAATAAATAAATATGTTTAACTGGATTAGTTAGCTAATTTTAATGCCCCAACTTATAACTACTACTTTAATTCGCAGTATAATTGCTCAATATAAAAATATATTTAATGAATTTAATGTCAAATTTACAAGTTAGATCTAAATTTTTCAATATGATTGATTATTATATATGTGATTATGAAAAGTGTAGCAAAGTTATTTGGGAGTCTAAAAAAAGTTGATTGCCTTAGCCTCATTTTGGTTGAAGAGATTAATTAAATAACTAAAAAATAAAAAAAAAATCTCAATTAGTCAAATTTTGTGATTCTATTTTTCATTTTTCTCCTTAATGGGTGGGTCAGACTTTTGAAATTAGGGAGAACATTAATTAGGATGTATGTATGTATGGTCTTATAATATTGCAAGAAATGCTTGAGTTTTTTAAGCAATTTGTTAAGATGACTCATGTTTGATTTAGACATTATTTAGTTCTAATTTTATCAAATTTTGTCCGGTCACAAACTCTGCCTGCCTATTAGTTAACGTGGCCAAATTAGTTTTAGTTTGCTAAAACAAATCTGGTCATTGACTCACTCTAGCATTATGGACACCTAAAAGCAATGTAGTAGTGTCTGAAAGCTTTTAAGAGCCTTGGACTGATTGATACATGGTTAGACATGGCCAACACACGGGCTGGATTTCGTTGACCCTGAACCGGTACGAGCCGGACCGGCCGGACCAGAGTTGAAAAAACTTAGACCGCCCCAGTTAAAATCTGAGTTGGGCCCGGACCTGTGGTCAACGGGCTTGACCGGATCGAGTCCATGCCGAGGGCCTGCGGCCACGTCTATACATGGTCCGGTTTTTATACCTCATAGTTATTTAGAAATTTAGAGTTTGACTGATTGATACAAAGTTCGATTTTTGTGTCTCATAGTTATTTAAAAAATTGTGGCTCTTCTTATCGCCAGTCTACTTGTGACTAAAAACAAGTCATATAATAAAAGAAAATAAAATATAATTTTTGTTTATTTAAACTAAGTGAATATTCACTTTTTCGAATACAAGTGTTTTGTATTTATTTTTGTCCACAATTTTTGAATTAAAAAATAAATTATGACTACAAATTAATGTATGAAATTAAATATTCAATCATTTATGTATTTATAACTATATCTATAAGTTATTATTTACTATCTTTTCACACCATAATTAAATATTATATTTTTTTATATAACATAGTTGCATATATTAAAAATCATCATTATTTCAGTAAGTTGTTACTTTTTAATCAATAAAAAATTTCGTTTACCCAATTACATATGGGCCTAAGGCACTCCACTTCTATACCCAATTTGGACTATGTTATGCCTTCCACAATTTGGGCTTATTAGTGGGCCGTAAGCTTATTCCTGGCATATGATTTGTTTAGGGAAATTTACTTACCTGTAGCCTCATTTATATATATTTACATATATACATCATTACAAACATTAATCAAAAAAGGATTGTATTGTGATTATAATTTCACAAGTACGAGATTTTGATTTAATCAAATCTATTTGTTTCTCTCTTCTCTCTCCATATATTGATTGTACGTTTCTCCCTCCTCTCTCTCCATATATTTCTCATGGCATGGCATGATCTGATATGTTTCTCTCTCCTCTCTCTCCATATATTTCTCATGGCATGATCCCCAGAAATCAACGCACGGTAACTACAAAGTCAAAATTAAAAAGAAAAACACCGATCAGTTGGGAAAAAATAATTGATCGTGTTGTTTTCTGAAATTTATCGGGGAATATACGCTGAGCCAAAAATCGTGAATGTATATTCATGTTTATGTTATTGATCGAAATGGGATTTTCCTTATCGAGCTCTTGCAGTGCGAATATATGTTTAGATATACTATATATATACATCATATAAACATGATCTGATAGTTTCTGTAATATTAGTCGTATATTTATACATAAGATAAACAACATATAAAAACACTAGATCGGGATAAAAACATAACTCGCAATTCCGAATGACTACAAAATCCAAATCGTATAATTATACATAAGATAAACAACAAATGTGTACTTTACATGACATTTACAAAGTTCAACCAACAACTTTGCGCACTCCAAAAAACAACACAGTATACTGTCTATAACTAATGTATAATTTGTGTATATGTTTACTACACTCTTCCGAACGAACATTTAAAGTGTGGACAGGTCCTGGCTACTTCGTTCGAACTTCTCGCGACGAACAATTAGGTTGCCACGTCGAACGACGGTCGACTCATGGACTGAGTCCTCAGCGGTGATGGCGGACGAGGCTGCTATAAGAAACTCGACTCGACTGGGCCCGTGATGACGGATTGTTCGCTCAGAGAACCGTCGACAACTCACGGAATGGCTGCTCGAAGGACGACGTTACTGCTCCTAGCTCGAGTTTTTAGAATGAAGGGGAGGAACGTGAAGTGGCGGCCGTCCGATTTGTATGGCCAAGTCTTCTTTTTCATATGGCAGCGGATGTTGGCCCGGATCCAGAGATTCGGCTTCGGTGTTTTTTTATCTATGAGAGATGAGAGATGATTTTTTTCTTGTACACAATGATCGAGATATTAAGAGAGAGAGAGAGAGAGGAATTAATTAGTTTTCTTGCTTTACCGTTGAGGGTAGAAGTGGTGGATATGCACGTTCCCCGAAAATCATGCAATATATTAATTGAGTGAATTGTTTCTTGTTTCTAAAACTGACTATAATATCTACCTTAATTAAATATAATTAAATACAATTAACGGTTAATCAGACTCTAATTAACAACATGACCTATTTAAATTATGTTAATTATTAAAGAACGTATTTATGATAAAAAGATTTTGTGCTCGTAAATTTAATATTATTTATGTATCCTGCTGTCTGGAGAGTAAATTTCTCATTTGTTTAAGCATCTTGGGCCGCATCTAAAACGGAGCACTCAAAGGAAGTATCGTACGAAGGTTCAGTCCGTGGAAAGAATCGCCACCTAACGAAGATAATATCTGTTTACTTTAATTTAAAAAATTGTACTATTGCATGACAAGTATCAATCAATATATTATTTGTGAATAATTATAGATGACTTCATAAACTGAGTCATCTGAAGGCTCCATAGCAAAATCGTTACAAATTAAATTTATTGTTATTGTATAAATAACGTATAAAATAAACTTTTGTTAATACAATAATTAAGTAATTGTAAACATATTAACATTAAGTGTATGTAAAACAAATAAAATAGTAGTAAAAAGGATTAAAAATATCTGGCATATCCAATATTTTACCTGTACCAGGAAAAAAAGAAAAGTCAAACAAATTAGCACACGCGGCTCCACACTCGGGGAAATAGACCATGTCACCCTTCAATTAAGTTTGCCATAAACCGAGTATGAAAATAAATCATTCAACCATATAACTTGTGACGCAATTAGTTCATTTGCAATTTTTTTTTTTTTTTGGTGCTCTTGTTGAGATTCAACCATTAAATATTATTAAACATCTATTGGGACTTAATTAGTCGCTTGGCTTCTGGCTCAAAAACAGAAATTCTGAAACAAAACAGCGTTTATGTACGGTGAGAGCTATCCAGCGGCGGCGCAGAGCTCCTGCCCGCCGACAATGGCGGTGATCGGCCAGCAATACTGCTTGAGTTACCCAGTTGACCTGACCATCGTGCGCAAGATGTTGACTTTATCGAAGGGAAACTTTGAGGTGAAAGATGCCAACGGCAACTTAATGTTCAAAGTCAACGGGAAGTTGTTCTGCCTCCACGATCAGCATACCCTCGTTGATGCTGCCGGAAAAACGATCGTCACTTTCCGCCGGAAGGTAATAATCAGATACTCACTATTTTTTTATTTTTTTTGGTATTTTTAAAATTTATTTTGATATAGCACAAGAGAATAGCTAGGTGAACCCGAGGAGGGAATCAGGGATTAGCTCGGTAAGGTGGGCCATCTGTTTGGCTCGATGATAATAGTTCGGTCAGATGAAGCTCGACCCATTAATGATGAAATTGGGTGTAGCTCGGTCCAGCAGAGGTATTAGCTGCTCGGCTGGTAAAACAGCTCGACAATGTTAGTAGCTCGGCTACATAAGATGAAGGGGCTTTCATAGGCACGGTTCCGAGCAGATTAAGCCCATAGGTACACATTATTCCGAGCAGGTAGAGTTGGTCGTTCAGGCCTGCACAATCCCCAATAGATGGACTAGACCGAGCAGGTTGATGCTTGGGTTTTTGCTCGGGTATGTGCTCGGACAAGACCGAGCAGGTTAATACTCGAGTTTTGGCTCGGACAAGACCGAGCAGGTTGATGCTTGGGTTTTTGCTCGGGTATGTGCTCGGACAAGACCGAGCAGGTTGATGCTCGGATTTGGCTCGGACAAGACCGAGAAGGTTGATGCTCGGGTTTTTGCTCGGGTATGTGCCTGTTGATGCTCGTGTTTTGGCTAGGACAAGGCCGAGCAGGTTGATGCCCGGGTTTTTGCTCGGACAAGACTGGGCTTATAACGTTTAAGGTGCTAAGACCGATCACTTTATGTAGACCGGTTATGAAGCTAACAAGTAACCTAGCTATTCATACTTAGCATTATTTTGGTTAAAAGGATGTTCAACTTTTGCGTGTGGATATTGATGTACAAGCGAGCTATCGGTACTTAAACATTATCTCAATTCAATTAGTTGTGATTTGTGGAACCTGGGAGTGGCCGAGCTATTAACAAAGCCGAGCCACTTACACGTGACATGAATGGGATGCGAAATAAGGCAAGATATTTATACGTGGTAAACATGCCAAATCCAAGTTTGAGATACAAAGAGAAGAATAGCAGAAACACAAGGTAAGTTTGAGATACAAAGAGAAGAATAGCAGAAACACAAGGTCATTACAGGCAGTGCTCAAAACAAGCGAGCTAATAACACTTGAGCATACAGGTGTCTGCTCCAAAATATGAGTACAATTAGTGCGAGCTAGCTATTGTCACAACATAAAAATCGAAAATAAAAACAAAGGGATTAAAGAGGGGGATCTTGAGTGACTTGGGAATGCTACTCGGTTTGAGTAACTTGGATATTCAGCTCGGCCTGAGCAACTCCATTTTCCTCCTGATGATTGACGAGCTCCTCTTTATTTTCGTCCTCCACGGCTCGGTCATTAACCTCGTTTTCTACCTTTGCTTCACTGTCTTCGTGCTCAAGCTTTTGAAAAGCAGTCTCGAGGGCGGACTCCCACCAAGGATATCAAGTGGCAGATTGGAGTCTCCCAACAATCCATCAGGATCGGGGAGGTTCAGAATCAGAGCAGCCTCATCATAGCCCCTTAGATTCCCGCTGGCCCGAGCTTGCTCCAAGGCTCGGGTAGCACCAATGGGAAGGTATTGTTTCGCCGCATGATAGAGCTTAGCAAGGAACGACATAGAGTCGTGATAAAGAGCGAGCAGCTCTTCCCGGAAGGCATTCAGGAACCGAGCTCTGCAGGAGGAGGTAAGCAAGCTATCGCGCGTCTTCTGCCGGGCAGATGCTTCCTTGGCAGCGGTTTTTAGGGCGAGCAGTTCAAGGTCGGCTCACAGGGCATCTGTCTCTTTTTGATGACGAGCAGAATCAGAGGCCCGGTAGAGCTCTGAAGCTTGGATCTGCTCGGCCTGGCAGGCTAAGCTCGGAGCGCTCGAATGCCGAGGACACGGTCACAACACCAAGAGGGCCGGAATCTAAAAAAAAACAACACAAAACAAACGACACAACAAGTAACATACGAGTCGTAAGAACAACGAGCACGAGCATGAAGGTTGAAAATTTTGAAATAAGTAGCCGGAAAATTCGAAATAAATGGCCGAAGAAGACGAATTGAACGGTAAAAAAATTTGAATAAACGGCTAAAAATTTCGAATGGCAGGGCCATAAAATCTGAAATAAGCATCCGGGAAGTTCAAATTAAACGCTGGTTGAATTTGAACCAGCGATTTGGGTGGCCGAAAAATTCCAAAAAAAAAGGGGGAAAAAAGAAAAAACAACAGTGCGAAAAATAACAGTAGAGAAGAGACAAAGGAATAACGATGCTTACCCATTTTAAAACAAGATGGTTGTCGCGGGAAGATAACGCGGATCCCCGCCGATACACTGGAAAAATTTTCCTTTCTTCTTTTGCTAAATTGGGGTCTTCTTTATGGTTAATAGGAAATATTAAGGACTGTGCGATGAGATGACATGTACGACATTCGAGGGTACCTTTTTGTATCTAGCTCGGATAAAGTCTCGAGAATTTAGCTCGGACAAGGGGTGGGAATAGGAACTCGGCAGTTCAGGCTTCTTGAATCACAATTCGATAGAATAATTGCTATAGGTGCTGATTCAAAGGGTGAGGTGGCGTAGGGCCGAGCTCTTTCGAAGCTTCAGGTTGACAGCCTTAGGCCGAGCTCTTTATGAGCTTGGGCTCGGAGGCCGACCAGATAGGTGATGATTTTAGTCCGAGCTACCCACGAACTCGGTCGCTCGCAGTCTGCCCGCGTAATGACCTAAGCCCGAGCTCTTGATGAGCTCGGGTACCATTTGGGGACAATATGTCGTGGAACTAAGCTCTTAATGAGCTCGGGTACCATTCGGTGACAAGATGTAGTGAAACCAAGATCTTAATGAGCTCGGGTACCATTTTGTGACAAGATGAAATGGAATCGAGCTCCAAAGGAGCCTGAATATAATATGGCTTAAGACCGAGTTGGTATAAGTTGGGCCGAGTTTCAAAGGGTATAACGGGTCTTAAGGGCGACGAGCTCATAACGTTCATGAGTAACCCTACCATTTATACCTAGCGATATTTTAGTTCTATTGCAAGTAGAGTTGTTATGGAGTATAAACGAGCCATCGATACTTAACACCATTGCAAATAACTGTGAGTAGCTGAGCTACTTACGCATGGCAAATATGGGGTTCGCAATGAGACGAGCTACTTAGCAAGAATTTTAATTCAATAAGCACGAGTTCAAAATTTGTAGCACCAAAGATGAACATCCAAAGAGCAAAGTCATAATACAACACAGTTAGGTTGAGGAATTACGATGAGAGCTCGGCGACTTGGATATCTCAAACAAGTCTATCTAGTTCAACGAACAATAGCTCATTTGATAATGAGGGGCTAGATGATATGACACATAGTAATGAGCTCGGTGAACCGGAGAGGATCTGCTCGGTTTAGGCAGCTGGAGCTAGGTCCGAAGTCTAGTAGCATTAATAGCTCGACCACCACAATAGGATTATTGAGGGTTCAACCTCATGTTAACAGCTCGGCTCTTAGTGGCTCGGCTTTGAGGTGTATTAGCAGCTTGGCCCTTAGTGGCTCGGCATTTAGGTTGAATGGGTTTCTTAGCCATAGTACAGTTGAAGAATTGCAATAGGAGCTCGGTCATCTGGATAATAGCTCGCCAGTTCGGATAGGACACCATGTGGGTAACGTGTCAATTTCGGTTTAGGGGTTATAACAGGAGCTCGGCAATTTGGATTTTTAATCAAAACTCGGTTGAGGAATTTTGGATAGGAGGTCGGCAATTCGAATGTTTTAACAGTAGGAGCTCGACGGTTTGGGTTCTTAATCAAAGCCTGATTGAAGTATTTTTTATAAGAGCTCGGCGATTGAATCCATTAAACGTTGATCGGACAAAGAATCAAGGCAAATAGCCCGATTTTTTTTGCTCAATTGCTCAGACAAAGTAGGACCGAGCCGAGCAGGTTGGTAATTTAATTTGTTAATCCTGCTCGTAATTGCCACTAGCTCGGACAAAGCAAAACGGGCAAATTGGTAGTCAAGGCAAGGACACTAGCTCGGACAAAGCAAAACGGGCAGATTGGTAGTCAAGGGAAGGACAACAATAATTGGAAATCCACGTTCTTCTGATTTTGAGGTTTTCTTTTGGACACTGCAACCACTACCCCATTCTCCCACATTTGTGATATTTGAGGTTTGCCTTTGAATTTCAAAGGGGAAAAGTGGAGAGAGGAAGAAAAATGTGATATTTATGATGGGAGGAATGACATGGATCGTTAGATCAAAGTGGATCTAATGGCTGGGAGACGTTGTTTGACCTTTTCGGTGCATAAAAGTGAAAAGACATGTACGTTGCCCCAGGCGCATTTTTGGAACGTTGCTCAACTGAGGCCCTATGAAAACAACTCGGCAATATGAATTATTGTCGTTAGTAACTGGAGCTCGGCCAAAGTATCCGGAAAAATGTTCGACGAAGTGTTGCTCGGCTAAAGGAAGATGGTTCGATGATAAGCGAATTACACCTGGTCCAGATGGGGTGATGAGTGAAGATTTAGCTCGGTCGGCCAAACAAGTCTATAGTTCAAAGAATCATCTTGGTCAAAATCTTGTGAAAACAGCTCGGCCAGTATTTTGTGAATAACAGCTTAGATGAGGGGTTGTGAGGAAATCTTGTTATCTCATTTAACTATTGATATTATCAAACAAGCTATTTGGTTCCGAAATCCATAGCCCGTGTGATAATGGGGGGACTAGATGATATAACACAAGAGAATAGCTAGGTGAACCGGAGGAGGGATTACCGGTAAGGTGGGCCATATGTTCTGCTCGATGATAATAGTTCGGTCAGATGAAGCTTGACCCATTAATGATTAAATTGGGCATAGCTCGGTCCAGCAGAGGTATTAGCAGCACGGCTGGTAAAACAGCTCGGCAATGTTAGTAGCTCGACTACACAAGATGAAGGGGCTTTCATAGGCATGGTTTCGAACAGATTAAGTCCATAGCTCGGGTACACATTATTTCGAGCAGGTAGAGTTGGTCGTTCAGGTCTGCACAATCCCGAATAGATGGACTAGATGAGCAGATCGGTCATTTAGAAGATGTGCCTAGCAGGAGCTCGGTTAGATAAGCAATTAGGTTTAAAGGCCCATTGTAGGATATGGGCCGAGCAGATGAAGCAGTTATGAGGAGTAGTATATTAAAGACACGTGTAGTGATAAGATTAAAATGGAACAAGTAGTCGGACGACTGGAGATTAAAGCATGGGGAAAAAGCTAGGCAACTTTGTATAAATAGGTAAATTTGGTAAGATGATAGGGGTAATCACACTCTACAAACCTTAACACTACTTACAGAGTTACAGTTACATACAACTTTCTTCTACTCCTTACTGACTTAAGCATCGGAGGTTTACCGCCGGGAGCACCTCCCGACGTCTTTGCAGGTCTTGGAGAGCTCGAAACGGTCGAGGAGCGGAGGAGGAAAGGGTTGGGGTGCAGGATTGCTATCATATTTTATATTAAATTTTAATGTTATAAAATATCAAATCATTATAAGTTAACATATATGTTCGACAAACTATTCATTTATATATCGGAAAAGACTATAGTTTTAACTTTTGAATTGGTATAACTCCAAATTGTTTGACTATGTTTGGCAAATGTTGGTTTGATCTTTGATGAAAACGAAGGAATCTGCTAATTGAAAATTAATCTAAAGTTTACCTTACTATTGATCATATTAGTTAAAATTAATCATGTTTCACTCTTTTTTTTTTTTTTTTAAATGTATTTGTAGATTTTTTCAGCACATGGAAGATGGCAAGTGTTTAGAGGAGAAAGTACAAAACCAAATGATCTACTTTTCAGTGTTAAGAGATCTTCAATATTACAAATGAAAACAAAGCTCCACGTGTTCTTGGCTTCAAATACGGCCGAGGAATTATGCGACTTCAAAATTGAAAGCAGCTGGTTCGAGAGGTCGTGTGTTGTGTACTCCAGAAACTCCAACAATATAATTGCTCAGGTATGTATATAAAATTGCATACACGTTAACACACGCGTACATATATATCCATATTGAAAATAGTAAGAAAAAAAAAAATGTTGTGCAGATGAAGAAAAACTGCAATGCGCGATGTATTCTAATGGGGAAAGACTTGTTTGGTGTGACCGTGTGCCCAAATATTGACTATGCCTTCGTGGTTGTTCTCGTCGTGCTTCTTGAGGAAATTAACACAGTCCGTCCAGGAAATTCAGGGGGACCTTAAGGTTCTTAAGTACGATCGATCAGGCCAAGAAATGATTGAAGAGATTGTGCTCTTATGTTTAGGCTTTTATTTTCTGTGATATTGAAATCCTAGCATCCAACTTGTGATCTGTCTCTTTCTTGTTTGATATCCGTGTTACTTATTGTTGTATATGATGATGATGAGCTTTGTACATGTTAAAAACTCTTTCTCTAGTCAACTTTGGTTGTGTATTATCATGTATGTGTATTGCTCCTCATAGTAGTAAGTAAATTGCCATTGGAACATAATTAGATGAATGAAAAAATCTAAATAGGTATATTTTTATTTTAATTGTTGTTGCATGCATGTTAGGGAGAACTAGACATAGTCTTTTACAATTATGCATATTTTAAAATTGAATGTCACATAGTGCTGTAATCGAACCAAATTAGACGAAGTTGAGCATTTCGAGCCCGTATTCGTTTACATTCAAACATCGTTCGTTTATTATTCAAGCTAAAATTTGTGTTAGTGGAATTGTTCGTTAGAGTTGGACCTCGTTCGTGTGCGAATAATTTAGTAAACAAGATTGTTAAAGTTGTTTGATCAAAATAAAAAAGAAATTGCAAATAAAAATATTTCTTTTTCCAAAAGATAGAAGCCTTATGTTACAAGTTACAAGGCAAAAGCAGAATTAACCGCCACAAATCATTTTCACCTTGTTTTCGCATTTTTAGTTGAAATCGGACGACGACAATTTAATTTTCACGGCCGGACACCCATTTAACCCCCGAAAAATAATTCCACCATTGCCGTATATAAAAAAGGAAAGGCAAAAATCCATGCTTGGCGGAGCAAAGCTACTCGTGAATCAACAGATTTTTCGATGGCCGGCATGAGCTATCCCCAGGCTCCGGTACCGCCGCCGCCGATGCAGGCTCCGGTGGCCGTGAACGTCCTCGGCCCACATTTCTGCGTGGGGTACCCCGTCGATCTCACCGTACAGAAGAAGCTGAGCTTTTCGGAGGGAAATTTCGGAGTTACAGACATCAACGGCAACGTCGTGTTCACCGTCAGAGGGAAACTCTTCAGCCTCCGCGACCGCCGGGTCCTCATCGACGCCTTTGGAAACCCCGTCATTACTTTCCAGCAAAAGGTAATTGTATTCGTTATTGTCTCGAGTCTTGATTGGTTGGTGATGAGGAGATATTTGTTGTGCGTTGTATGTGGAAGGTGTTTGTGAAAATGTCTGAATGAAACTCTAGGCTTCTTATTTATTTGCATTCAAAAAGATGGATTTTTGTTTGGAGAATTCATGTCCAATGGGCATGATCTGACCTTCATCATTGATCCCATGTGATGTATCTCATGTTAGCATAGGCCGATATTTAGGTCTGAGAGCATATATTGCCTTGGCTCATCGTTTTTGTCATCAAAAGGTGGGTTTTCAAATGATTCAATATCTTTTCAATTCTAATCCAGGTTTTCACATAAATGCTGTTGTTAGGCTATCTAACCGTTCGACATCATTCTCATTTCCTATAATCATACGATTAGTTAAAAACCATCCACACAGTTTAGCATAATTGCAAAAGAATCTTGTTATTCTTTCCAAAATAGAAATATACTCTTGACATTCATTTTCATTTTTTGTATATTGCTCCTTTATGTCTGTATAACTTATAGAGGTATTTTTCGTAGTTTTTTTTTATTCCGTAAATGCCCCATTTTTGTTTTTTGTTATTTCAAGATCCTGTCAGCACATAGAAGGTGGCAAGTTTTCCGGGGTGAAAGCACGGAACCAAAAGACCTGCTTTTTAGCGTCAGAAAGTCTTCGATGATTCAGTTAAAAACGAAGCTCCACGTGTACATGGCTGCTAACACGTCAGAAGATGTTTGTGACTTCAAAATTTCGGGCAGCTATTTCGAGAGGTCTTGTGTAATATACTCCGGCAACTCTAACAGTATCATTGCCCAAGTAAGATTCCCCCATACCCTTTTCGGGTTTTTCTAACTTCTTTAGCAAATATGGAAAAGCCCATCAAGGTTTTCTTTTGCGGTGCAAATTTTGATTACTTCGATTCGATGGGATTAAATTAAATGCAGATGCATAAAAAGCACAATGTGCAGAGTGTTCTGCTGGGGCAAGATACATTTGGGGTGACTGTTTATCCGTACGTGGATTATGCATTTGTAACTGCCCTTATCGTGATTCTTGAAGAAATTAATCTGGATAGAAATGGTCAAGATTGAAGGCGAATATTCAAAATGCCCGATTATAGAGCATTTTTGTGTGCTTTTCTACTTCATGATGTACTTTGTTACAGAGAGGTATGATTTTACAAGTCATTTGGGACATATTCATGTTCTTAGCAAATGATTTGGGAAGATTCATACATAATATATATGTGTCTGCTGGTTTTTGAAATTGATGGCTAAATAATGTACAACTGCTACATTGAAATGTGATATTTTGGTGGTTCTTTTGTTCAAAAGAATGCATAAATAAATGATATAAACGGGTAATCCTAAGGTCCCGTTGGGGTTTTTTTGGAGGAACCATTCCGTCTAATTGAAAAATGCATTCGATACATAGTATTATTACCCACACAAATGACAAAAAAACAGTTCAAATCCAATTTGTCCCATCCTCCTAAAACAATGTAACAAATCAATTAAAAAAAAAAAAAAAAAAAAAAAAAAAAAAA